GGCCTATACATAATGAATGAAAATAAATAAATAATTAAATTGTGTCCATGCTAGTCTCAAACCCTGGTCTCCCATTCCCATTGCCCTATTGGAGGCATGTTGTGAAATGAGCTGCGCATTACACAACAACGGTGACGGCTTTTTATACTGAGGAGGTGGAGCCTCACTCTGGGATTGCTAGGTAAGGGTCTGAACGCAGGTTCTGGTGGGTTGTCGTACGGCTTGTGACATCACAAAATGACGCAAGTATAAAACTTGTCGTTAAAATACATTAAAAATACATTTACTTACAGTAAATATGCCCCTGGGTGCATTTTTTTTGGTCCTAGGACTGTTTGGGTATGTAAGTACATACCCAAAGTTGAGTAAAAAAAAACTTTAAAAAGTGAATTTTGCATGATAGGTCCCCTTTAATTCTTCACAACTATTTAAACATGACATAAGCTCGGGTTTGTTTCCACCTGAAGACGTATCAGTATTCAGCTACGAGCGTATTTCCACCGTAAATCTGCTTTGACGCATTCCTCAATTTAAAGAGCGCATCACTTCGTGGCTGACTTTAGTGTTTTTGCACGTTTCGGTCTACAACAGACAGTTACGATGAAGCTTTGCTTTGTTACCGGGGTCGAAAAAGAAACTTTTTTTTGTTTTTTAGAACAGCAGATGAAGACTTTCTTGCTGCGAGGGCTTCTAAACTTTTGAATATCAAAGGCTGCCTTTGCTCTCTTTTTCTGTGACACGTTGCCAAAGAGCTGCACAGCTCTGCGACTGTAGAAACTGGTGCCGCTTTACTGTCTCGCAGTCAAGGATCCAACTGCTACTGTAAAGTAGAGCAAAATGCCTCTGGTAATATACTGCGAATTCTTTAAAAAAAGAAAATACAACAGCTGTTAATGCATAGGTGACAAATGGTGACACCCATTAATACAGCAGAGGTCGCTTCTGCAAATTTTCAGTCACAAATGGGATCACCTGAACCGTGGGAAACCTCCCACAGCCTTACACCTTGGCCTTGCTTATAAAATGCAATCAAGTTATCAACATAATTGAAAAGGTAAGTGTCACCCTGAGCAAGATGGAGCACCTGTCCTTGAAAATTAATAAAAGAATGCATCAGGCTGGCTGCACGCCACAAGGAGAGGGGATGACAGTGCAACCAGGCTGCCACATGAGAGGTCATGTGACCCACTGTTACAAAGCAGAATAATCCTGCATTGTGATGACGGACTCACCAGACCAGACCAGTTGGGCTTCCACGTCTACAGCCTGCTGTGATTACTGTGCAGGTTCACGAGGCTTTACCTGACTCAGAAAACCACATCTCAGACTGTGGACCTGGTGCTGCAGGAAAACAGCCTCAAATGGCTCCAAAAACAATTTTAACTCTTTTCAAACAATAGTCCTGAGAGCAGAGGAGTGAGTTTCTGTTTTTAGAGTTACACTCAAACTCCCCCTGCACATATAATCCTGATTTATTTAAAAGAAAAGTGAGGAAATAACCTCAGCACCAGTCAAACCTGAGCTGCAGGCTGAGATTTCCAGATTATAATAAACGTCACGTTCCAGAGGCAGACCTTTTTACCTTTGACCTCTTATAAACAACAGCTCAAAGTGCTAATAAATAATACTAAATAAAGTCAGCCATGCTGTAAAGCTGCCAACTTAGAAAAAAAAACTTATGAAGTCAAAAAAACAGCACACAACATGAGTTAAATGTGTCTCTGCCATAAGAAGCAGCAGCTAGCTTACCATGGATCAAACTCGTGGATGATGCTTTCGAACCGGATCACGGCAAAAAGTCTGGAGCTGAATCCTGCCAGGCAGGCCAGAAACAGGATACTGAACGAGAGTAAAGACTGCCACCCGGCTGGCTGGGTCAGCCCGCCAGACAGGCCTCCTTTGCCCCCTCCTCCACCTCCGGCGCCCGGTCGGCTGCTCCCGTGCGCCGAGCTGCCGGAACTGCTGGAAGCTTTGTGCTTGCCGTCGCTGGCTGCGTGGTGCTCCGCCATTTCTGCGTGCGGGTGTCGGTCGAATTCGCCAAAAAAGCGTACCCCCTCTTTCTTCAGCCAAGCTCTCCGCGCCTCCCTCCGCTCCGCAAACTCCCCTSGGGTAAATCTCCGACCTCTGGAGCCTCCCGGGTTTTTTGTTTGTACTTTCTGTAAATCAGTACCCGCAGCACCTCACGTCCCTGCCCGCACACTCAGGCGCGCTGCACACACACTCTATCCGCTTCACGATTGAACGCCGGTGGAAAGGGGAGGGATTTGTGCGCGGGGAGGGGAGGGGCAAGGACTTTGGGCCTATTACAGACCGACAGGTACGAGAGGGCGGGGTTTTATGGATTTAAGCCAATAGGAGAGTGGGGTGGTTTAGATTGCCAAACAAGTTCACCAATGAATAAAGAGGAAAACGTGGTCGCTGCTTGATTGAGAAAGGCATCATCTTCTGACACATACAAATTAATCACTCTGCTGCTAACTTAAAATAAAACCATTATCCCCTTAAGTGCAATTCAGGGCAAATAAAAGGCACAAATCTTTACTTTTTCTAGCTATAGGAAGGCATGAAGATGAATGTGCTCTGAGGGCAATAYTCTGTTACACTGTGATGTTGTGGACTGAAAGGTAAGACAAACAGATGTGTTTCATCATTCTATGTCCCCAAGCAAAGACAAGAAACCCACCATTCATCAAGACTTGAAAGCTGTTATTGAAATAAAACCGTTTATAACATTTCAAACAAAAGCTCAAGTTTTTGATCAATTTTATATCTATTTTTTTATTCTTGTACTTCCTCATACACTCATGAAATCGAAACATTATTGCTTTATCTGAGTTGTGCTTGATCTATTGTCTGGGAGGGATAATAGTCGGCCAACATTCTCAAAGGRCTGTAATGGCCTGAACTTGTACTTGAACTGTAATATCCAGTGGTGCCTCCAGAAATGGTTTAATGGGGTGGCCATGGGAGGCACTGAAAATCCAGGAGTGGCACTAAAAATAAAAAAATCCGAGCAGAATTTTAGGCARTTTATGTTGTTTGTCATATTTGGCCAATACTGCAACATACAGGAGTTACAGAGTCATCTTCTGGATTGCAGTTACTTTAGTTTTTATTTTTATTTACAGTWATTAATTCATGGGAAAACTTATTCAAGCTTCTCCTTGCTTAAATTTGCAATATGTATATAAAAGTGCCCGGCCAAGGAGGGCAGTGGGATGGGGTGCCCCCTCTGGCTCCCTCCTGTGGGCACCACTGTTTTGAAGTCTGAGCTGTTTAGGTGAACACATTAATAGAGCCGGCTCTTGGCATAGGCGAACTAGGCGGTCACCTAGAGCGCCATCTGCTGGAAGGGGTGCCGAACTGCAGAAGAAAAAAATACTTGTAATCCCTGGTTGTAACTCTGCTCAGCGCCCCTTTCAATTAGCTTTGTCTTAAAAACAATAATGAAGTATTACAGGAAAAATAAACTACTCCTACTACTAATCCTGCTGACATTCATTCAGACACAGTGAGGGCTGAGTTTGTCAGCTGAGGACCTTATGAGGTAAAATCAGACTTATATTTTCCAAAAAGAGAGGACCTTTTAAATCTTTGCACAAATTGTGAACAGGGTCTTTTGTTTACCCTTGTCATTTGATTTAATTTTATTTATTTATTYATTTAATTTGTTGTGTGATGTATGTTTGTGTTTAAAGCAAATAAATCTAAGTTTACCATAGTAAACTAGTAGTAGGGGAGTTGCGTTTCAACTCGCCTAGGGCACCAAAATGGCTAGAGCCAGCACTGCATATTAAGTTCTGATTTTTAAAAATGAAACATAGACATATCTCAAACTTTTCAAGAAAAGTTTGAGCTGAATAAACAAAACTGAAATGAGGCAGTTTTCTCCAGAGGAAACAAAGATAAGGAGTAAGGAAAAAGACAGATTTGGAGACAAAAAGATGGATGGCTAATAAGGGAGAGTAAGGGAATGGTTRTGAAAATTGATGGGGATCATTACGGAGAATAGACGATGTGGCAGAGGTGGGTGAGTTTTGAGCGTATGACGTGATCCCAGAGATCAAAGTTAAGCAAAGGCAGATGATATCGCAGGCTTGTCTCCACTGAAAGTGCAACGACAGACAAGAGATCGTTAAACACGCGCTTTTAAAAACGCTTCTAATCCTTTACACCCATTAACAGATGCATACTAATGAGTTCATCTCTGTTTGGACGCACAACGGGGTGCTCATGAACATCTCAATCATTCTTCAGGGCCTGCTTGTAAACGTGATGAGCAGCACTCTGCTCATTCATGCTTCCCACTCTGACTGCAAAATTTGAATTGATGACCTCAGGAACGCACAGGCAAAGATTGCTTCAGTCGCATCCATTGTCAAAAGGCCAGGCGCAGGTGAACGCCAGCCGAAAAACGTGCTGTTGCCAGGCGAGGCAGCGTTGCTCTCCTTCATCTCCAACACGCAGATGACAGGAATGTTTCTGTTTTTCTCGTGCACTACTTTTTTTTTGCAGTAGGGGCCTATCTAAAGTGGAACTGCAKTGTGTTGGTCTAAATTCCTCCTTATAGTAGCTTTATAGTACTACTATAGTATCAGTAGACTCCTGCAGGCTCTCGGGTGAAAGTGAAACTTAACTGTCTGCTGAGCTCCACTACTTCTCACTCAGTGAAGCTCTTTTAAGATTAAAAATACCTTTGAGGAAATGTATTTTCAGATGCCGAGTAAACTGCATCATATTAGCCCCCCCAACTGAAATGAGCGGGACAGAAGCGAAAGGTGGTTCTTAAAGAGACAGAGGCCATTTTCGAGGCGTTTGAAGAGGAAGTGATGAGAAG